TCCAAAACTCTTGCAAACAGAGGGATTTGAAAACATCATCCAGACTTTTCACATGTTGGAGCAGAAGAATGCACTGGCATCTTCAGCCTGTGCATGCTGAGCTGAGATCCTCAGGAAGGCTGTTGAGAAGAGCATCCATGTGCTCTGGAGGCCAGAGATAAATCCAAAATCCCAAACCTCTTACCTTCTCAACAACCAAGCACAGGAAACTATTTCTAAAGACACTTAGAGGAAATTAGCAGTAAAAAACTTCATTAGAAATTTTATGCTCGATAATGATGTGCTCTCTGGGATGTGCTGCAGAACGTTTCAGGAATGAGCTCAATGCCACTATTTCATTTTTTCTTCCCACGTAACACATTTCCCTCCCAGCACCTTTATAATGGATTTTCTATTAGCTAGATTCAAGATTTAGCTGTAAGAACACATCTCTTATTAACAAGGTAGTGTGTGCATACAACAGCTTTATTTAGGATGCAGGAGAGAGACACAAAGGTAGAATTAGATGGTGAATAACAGCTGGTGGTAGAAGCAAAAAGGATTGCAGCAGGATTGCAGTAAGTGTATTTTTAGCTCTGGCCTAAGAAAATATCACTACTGGTGTTCTCTGAAATACTTCTGAAAATATCAGCCCTTTCTTGGGAACATTTTCAAGACCTCGGTATTAAATTTTAAAATTAAACTCCATTACCTTCCTTATGCATAAGCAACCTTTAAGGTCCCAAGGACTACCAAGCTCATTTTGCAGAAACAAAGCTGGGTTCAAACTCAGCTGCTCTGTCTGACATCACAAGCTGCTTCAAGACAGTAACAACACTGCAGGTAATATCTATCTTCCATCTAACTCCCTTATCCTACGGAAGTTATCTATATTAGTTTATGTATGACTGAAAAATAAAACAAACAACCTCAATTAAACCAAAATATTGTCTACTATTACTGGCCTTTTGTTCTGTGACGGTATAGAAAGAATATTCTCTAGGACCAGCAATTTCCACAGTGGAGTTTCCTCCTCTTTGCATCAGAGCCCGAGGGAATGGTCTGAAGTTGTGTCAGGGGAGCTTTAGGATGGATATTAGGAAAAGGTTCTTCCCCCAGAGGGTGTTTGGGCACTGGAACAGCTCCTCAGGGCAGTGGTCACAGCCCCAAGCCTGACAGAGCTCAAGGAGTGTTTGGACAATGCTCTCAGGCACATGATGGGATTATTGGGGTGTCCTGTGCAGGGCCAGGAGTTGGACTGGATGATCCTTATGGGTCTCTTCCAACGCTGAATATTCTGTGATCTTGAGAGATGCAAGACTTGGATGACTCTATAATTACAAACACTTTTGCCAAAATCACTACCTCAGGTGTCATTCAGTTTGTGGACTCACCATCCCTGGAAGTGTTGAAGGCAAGGCTGGATGGGGCTTGGAGCAACCTGGTCTAGTGGAAGGTGCCCCCGCCCACCCATGGCAGGGGATGGAAAGGGATGAGCCATCGGGTCCTCTCCAACCCAGACCATCCTGGGATTCTATGATTTGCTTACTGCATTGTGTTTGGAGAATGGACATTGTTCTTTGATGCATCCAGCCTGGTCTACCAAACTGTCATTCGAACTTCTGCTGATGCCCACAGGTACAATTAACTCAGCTTCAGGAGTTTGGGGCAGATGCCTTACAATGTGAACACAGCTGCCATCTTCTCTGGGACAGAGCCTCCAGGGTTCTGAGAGACCCAGTCAGCACATAGGGCTCTCAGCACCAGTAGACACCTTGAAAAGGAGTTCCAGCACACACATGAACAAATGTCCTGATGGACAGGATCTATAGTCAGGCTGCTTTTAAGGAACTGCCCTCAAGGAGCACTGAAAACCACTGCTCTCAGGAGCCTAATACGCTTATAATCCATGTCCCAAGTGCTGCAGCAAACAAGCTGATGGGGTGGCCACTACAGCTGTCTGCACCCTGTGCTCCAGATCTTTTTCAGCAACGAGGGAAAGGAAAAATAGATGTCTTCCTGGTGCATTGTATTTATCTATTTATGATTTTTCTGTTAGCCTTCATCCTTTGGTCTACAGGAAGAGGATCAGGTTTTCTGTTAACTCTGACACTACCCTTGCTATCATGAGAATTCTCTACTTGCTGTCTGACAAGTTCAAACAGATTCTGAAGTATATTCTGTTTCTTCCCCTTACCAGTACTTTTATGCCTAAGTGGTGAGTTTCCATGAGCAAACTGATCTGGTTTATGGATTGAGGCTGAGAAGTCCTTGCCAGGGTGCTACAGGCAGGAACCCAACCCAGATTCTGCTTGTCACCCACAGAAGAGAAACAGCCACTTGGCTTTGAGAATTCTCTTGCAGACTGGTATCAGTGACAAAATATTCCTTGGAAAAGCCTAATAACAGGAATTTGCATGAGGTTAATTTCTATTTCTCCTGAGACGAGATGTGATAGGATTGCTGTCCAAACCCCTCTGCAGTGCTACTTGTGAACAGGAACTAACCTGGGAAATAAGTGGTGCTTCCTCCTCGCTGCTTTACGTTCTGTATTTACCACAAGGACACCACACTAACTACTCTATCAGTCAGACAGCAGTATTTACTTCATGTAATACCATTGTATCAGAAAAAGAAAGAGAAACTTTGAGGTCTTAACTTTTTTAATCCTCAAAATAATGATTTCTACAGTTCTATGAGTATTCATAAACTGTTTTACTTGCTTCTCCTGCATTTTTCCACTCAAGACTATATAAGTCTCCCTCCATTCCTACATTTAGCTGCAAAAAACATCTGAATGCTGAATCATGAGAAGATTCCCGGGTTAGTATTTAAAAACAGCCCTTCTTTATCTTCTCAGTGGAAGCACATTGTTTCAAACTTCCAAGACACAATTACTTAGCAAATTGTGAGAGGAGCTTCTGCAGTACAGAGTATGTTTAGGATTTTAGTTATCTACCCAACCAGTGAAACAGAACGGATCATCAAATCTCTGCAACACTTTAAATCACCAAGATTAACATTTTGGGAAGCACAGGTGATTGTGCAAGGCTTACACTGAGACAGGCGTGTACACATGAGCCATTACAGTTACTTCCCAGATCAGCTGGGAATAAATCTTGTAAATTATGGAAGTTATAGCTAAGAATTACCTTGAGTTCCTGAAGCTGGTCAGGTTCATAGAGCTTTGGAGACAATGCTTGGGCAAGGAAAGCATCAAGTTCCTGGCGACGCAGTATGCGAACCCCTGGCCATTGTACCATATACCTGCAGGGGAAGGACATCCTTATTCAGCAGCTGCTAAATGGGTAAATGTGATCACATGTGACCAGTATATCTAAAGAACATGTGACAGGAGAGAAACATGCTGTCCCAATGAAATGAGGAGCTTTAAGTTATCACCTGGAGTACATTTTTTTGCATACTAATGATTCTATAAGGAGAAACAAAGGAGTTTTAGTGCTCAAAAGGCAAGATGAAGTTCAGTAAAACCAAAGACAAATTCACATTTATCACACTGAAAAATGGCTTTAGCCTTTTCATGTGTAACATGCTAATCTTGGATTCTGCCAAAGTTATAAGCTAGTTGTGCTGAATAATTACCCAAATGGTAAGCACCTCCCAGTTCCTCAGTTTTCAATGTGAAAATTAAACAGCTCAGGATTTGGGACCTTGTGACATTCTCTGTGGAAAGCTTAAGTGCAGAACTAATGGTTCTAATGCTAGTCATCATCACCTCAACTGGATGAGCAATTCTAACCCAGGGAGCCTCACACACCAGAGGCAGAGTATCATCACGTGAGCTTCGCATCCTGATATGCTGCTACGCAGCTGTTCCCTGAAGAACTCTCTTTTGCTGTGCTGCTTCACCCACACAGCCTCTGAGGCCCCAAATGTTATTTTTTAGTAAGCTGAAGCCTTGAGCATAGTCAAGGAAAACTAATTCAAACACTACAGTCTGCGGCACAAGGTATTTTTCCTCTCCCTTCGATCCTCTAGAGGCTGATAAAGAACCATCGACTACACAATCTACAACCAAACCCTCTCTCTTAGCGATGCTGCAAATATGAGTTAACACTTTTCTACAGATTCCACAGTGAAGCCATTGCTCAGTTCTTCTCCTGAAGGTGACACTGACCTTAGCACACAGCAGAGCACCATAAGATGAGTGGGCACGTTAGTTGGGTTGAGCATTGCTGGTGTGTCCGATCGCATACAGGCCAGAAACGCCCTCATCCGCCGGTTCTTATCTTCCACGGCTTTGCCCAGCCACAGCTTCTTCAGGTTTGGGCAGGTCCACTCCCTGAAGGCCAGGGCTTCCACCAGCTCAGGGGTCTGAGGAGATTTGCCTTTGTAAGCAGCCCATTCCTTAATTATCACCGGTGAAACTGCAGAACGGCACAGGGGAAAGAAACCAGGCCAAGTTAGCCTTTCATATTTCAGCCTTTCTTTCAAATTTCATATGCAAGAGATTTCCATCCCAACAGCATTACTTTGAGGCTGCAATAGGTACCAGTGTGCTGGACTGCACTGCCAAAATGGTACTTCAAACCCTGCATAAACCATCTTACAAACTAAGTGTATGCACACTAGGGTATGTACACTAGGAATGTATTTTCAAATGAATATACAACATAAAGGACCTAAAACAAACCGCAGAACTTCCCCATCCCTCAAAGTGTTCAAGGCCAGGGTGGATGCAGCTTGGAGCAACCTGGTCTAGTGGAAGGTGTCCCTACCCATGGCAGAGGGTAGGAACTGGGTGGCCTTTAAGGTTCCTTCCAACCCAAATCATACTGTGACTCTAAGTTGAAAATGCAATTTTCCACCTAAAATATCTGTGTCATGGATCAAAACCCTACAGTGACAAATGGCAAATAAAAATAGTACATAAGCACAAATATATTCTGTATGTGCTCGTTTAAGAACAGTATGATCCTAGTAATTTTATTTGAATCAAATTTAAGCCCAATATACTTGTTTGTAGTTGTTCAACTACTGCAATGGAATGAGATCTGAAATATGGGTGGGGTTAGGGTTATTTTGCCTAAAAATTTTACAGAACACTAGTTTACATAAGGCCTTCCCATTTATTGCACTGCTTTCCATGAAGGGGTTGGTGATTTTGTGCCTAAGCTCGCTTTCATCCACATCAGAACAAAGCCAGTTCCCTCTACACTGCTGCTAAATCATGTCCCCTTTTACGTTTCAAGGCAACCAAAACAGGACACAAGTTCAAATCAAGGCTGAGACACGATACCTTTGGCCTTGGAGCGACCCCGAGCCTGATACAGCTCACAATGCGTCTGCACCCTTCTAACTCCAAACCCAGTTATGCAGTGTGGAAAGATTCAAGAAGCTTGTTAGTGCAGGTTCAAGTTACATGCAGGGAGATTCCCTGAGGGAGCACAGAGCTGCTCTTTCTGCTGGAAACCCACCGGGAACAGACGGAGGAGCGTGTACTGCTGGTGCCAGCACAGCTCTAACGACCACAAAGTCTCCTGCCTCATAGGCTCCATAGGCAGAGGCAGGCAAACCATGGCAGAGGCAATGGTCAGGACAGAAGAACAAACCTCCACAACATCCCAAAGCACTCTCATGCTTTGCTAGGATTAACCCAGCCTAGCACTACAGCTCCTTTCACAGAGCTCAGGGCAGTTTTACAACCATCACACACAGCAATGCAAATAAGCATTCTGATATATTTAGTTGGTAGCCTCACTACAAAATCATGTTCTATTTTGGTTGCTCCCAGGTTTTAGACACCACCACACTTTAAACAGCCAGCAAAGCTACCCCATCACTGGTGCTCACTTCCTCACTCTGGGCTTTTCTGCTTGCTCAGGCCTGGGGCAGCAAACATGAACAGACAAAAGGACACATTTGATTTGATGTTTCAAACCCTTCTTTACCTGCTTTAGATATCAGAACCACAGCTGTACACACCACCAGTGTTACACTGCTGTTTCTTTCACTTCTATTTCACCTACAACGACCTCAAGCTTAGAAGAAGGGAATGTTTATGCCTATGTTTTCTATCCTATGTTTCAACATTCAAACCTGGTTCAAAGCCTTTAATCTGAGGTGACAGCTTTCATAGCCCTGTGAGGTTAAGGCCACAGGAGGAGTACCTCAGCTTGCTGAGTCACATGCTACCTACAGAGGTCATGCTAGAGATCCACCCTGGCATCAACATTTTCCTAAACAATGAATATAACATCCAAGAATCCTAGAATGGTCTGAGGTGGAAGGGACCTGAAAGCTCAATTTGTTCCACCTCTCTGCCATTGGCTACTGCTCCAAGTCCTGTCCAACCTGGCCCTGAACACTTGCAGGGATGGGACAATTACAAGGCAACAAACCATTCCCCCCCCCCAGTTCTGCCACTCCCGGCCCTTGTCCGAAGTCTCTCTCCGCTATCCTGAAGCCCCTTTAGGTATTGGAAGGGGCTCTAAGGTCTCTCCCTGGAACCTTCTCTTCTCCAGGCAGAACAGATCTCCCAGACTGACTCGACAGCAGAGGTGTGTGAGCCCTCAGAGCAACTTCATGGCCTCCTCTGGACTCGCTTCAGCAGGTCCATGCCCTCCCTGTGCTGAGGACTCCAGAGCAGGCTGCAGGCAGCCTCACTTGTTGGGGAATGGTTTAACATGAAGGTCACTCTAGTGGGCTGGCAAACAGTTTCTTCTCTGAGTGACAGAGATGAGGAATTGCAGCTGTATCCATTGACAAACAGCTGTAACATTTAACCTAACATGAATGCAGAACTTGTCCATATCCACTTGTTTCTCCAAGGCATTTCTTAAACCTTTGACAAATCTGTACTGGGACTTCTGCCAAACTCACTGCATCCTCAGCTGCTGGGATGTCTGTCCTCAGAGGGATGTGGTGTTTCCTCACAGGACTTCCACTGGGAGATGAGCAATGCCTACCCTGAATATTATACCCTGAATACTATATTGGCTACAAGTAGGATGAGTGTGTTCATCTCCATCATTGTGCTGTTTATACCGTTTTTGACACCAAACCACCTCCTGCTGCTGATCAGCAGGTTTGAATACTCACAGAGGCCCAAGCCACCACACAGTCTATTAACCTCTGTTTTCAGCTGTGCCCCCATGGCACGCTAAGGTCAATCCAAGTAAAGAGGGTCAGCATCAACCTGCATGACAGCAGCCTGCCTGACAACCACTTGAGTGCTGGTACAGGCTCTGGGGGAATCAGCCACAGCACCCAACACAGCCCTTGTTGCCAACGCAGCTCAGCTGGTTGTGGTCTTCACTCTGCAGCTTTCATGCCCTGAGTGTGAGGTGCGAGGCACCCAGTGCTACCAGCAGCTGAACTGACACGGATTCATCAGGCCTCATTTTGAACCTTACAATCCTTACTGACAGCACAGCTTGAGCTCAGCACGCCTGACTGTGCACAAGGGCTGCTGCCCAAGAGACACGGCTTTCCTCTTGGCAGCACCAGCACCGGCTGAGCCCATCCGTGATGGGGAACAGCACGTCACAAGGTGGCTGGGCTTAAAATAACAAACCTTGGGATCCAACCAGGAGCCCTGACAGCTTGTGCCAGTGTGCGCTTCGCCACCATGCAAAAAGGGCAGATGGTTTCACCACACACAGGTATTTATCGGAACACGGAAGTAACCTGTTTCAGGGTTTGATGGCCAGAGCAAGGGAGACCCTCCCTTTTCACCTCCTCCAGGGAAGGGCAGCGCAGCCAGCACTGTGCCCTTGGCAGCCAAACATGATCAGGCACTCTGCGATCCAGCCTGCCCTGTCCTCTGGGAACAGAGATGAGGCCATGCACAGCACAGGCGTCACTCAGCAGACACTGATCACTGAAAAACCTCACTGATTGCTGCTTCTGTTGTTTCTCCTTGGCTTTTCAACCTCATACACAAAGTAATGATTTAAAAGACAGGAGGCCATCCCTTTCATGAAAGATCCATTATTCTGCTATCTATATATTTGGTAATAATCCCAATGTGTCAGTTTATTATGCATTTTCCACAGCCTCCCATAACCGTCACATGCAATATACTTGCCAATTATTCAGGCACTATTATTAAGTTGCCAGTGTTCTGGTTTGCACAACAAAGATGACAGAATTTTAGATATTAATATTCATTTCTTCTCTACATAAATCTTAAGAACAATTTACATTTCTTTAGAAATTAATTTCTAAATTCTCCTAACATCTCTTAATTCCTAAATTTTCTCGTCTTCATTACTGTGTTTCGTAACTTACTCATTTTTGAGAGTGGCAAAACAATTTAAGACACCGAAGGAGAATGAGCACCACTAGTTCATTACAGCCTGAGTCCTCAGAAAAGCTAACGAGGGCTAATGTCTGCCCTTGCTGCTGCAGACACTGTTCTCTGCTTGCATGCTGCACAGCCTGCCCAAGTCTTGCTGCTTTGTATGAGAGGTGACCAAGACAAACATGTCCCTGCACCAGAGCCCTTTCACACCCCATGCCTGCATCATGGCCCAAATCCATCTCTACCAGCACTGCCAGCTCTGCAGCAGAGCAAGGAACTTTTGGGCGTATGTTCAAATTTTATTTTGCTTTTTTAAGAGCATGGTCAGTCCTGAGCTCGAAGTAGGTCAGTAGCTGAATGCATCCTGCAGCAAGATCTGCCGGAGCTCCCGTAACTAAACCCAGTCAGCAGCAGTGTGCTTAACCTCCACTGAGAATGAACTGAGAAGCAGGATAAATGAAGAGAAAATAAGAGATTATACAGGCTTCCCCAGTAGCCTACAGAGAACAACCTAGGTTTACAAGACAAAACCTGAAGCAGACCTCCAGCTCGTAGATACGCCACCGCTACAACCGCTGTAGTGTGCTTTTAAGGACAGAAGTCTCATGAGGATAAATGAAGACTGCAAATAACGTCACCGTTTTAATCCTGAAATAACCTTGTAGCCTGAAATAGTACTATGCTGTGTGAGTTTAAAGAATTAAGAAGTTTGTGAGTATGTGTGCTGAGGTATTATTCAAGCAGGGTAAATATTGATTCCCACAAAATAACTGGCAAAGATAAACAGCTTTTCAGACACCATTGAGAGGTTATCGTCTTCACTACGAATGTACAAAAACATTCCACAATTACAAACAGAAAGAGTAAAGGGAATTAATATGAACTTTACAACTGATACTTATTTTTATCCTTTTACACATGCAGCCTGTGAACAATGATTTCATACTTTCTGAATATCTGATTCTTAAATTTAGCCTAGTGACAGCAGACTCCTACATACAAATACTTGTTATCGTCTTCACTACGAATGTACAAAAACATTCCACAATTACAAACAGAAAGAGTAAAGGGAATTAATATGAACTTTACAACTGATACTTATTTTTATCCTTTTACACATGCAGCCTGTGAACAATGATTTCATACTTTCTGAATATCTGATTCTTAAATTTAGCCTAGTGACAGCAGACTCCTACATACAAATACTTGTGCTGCTGCGCTTCAGCATTAACCTTTATAAGCTGCTACTGCAAAGTTCAGTCATTTCCTTGCATGCATTTCATTGTAAGATAAACATTCTAGAATGAGGAGGTTGAGTTTTCTGGAATGACAGTAATTCCCGGAAGCTGAAGATTTAAAAAGACAACTTCCAGATTAATGAGAAGACTAACATCCATCCCTCTGAACTAGCCATTTGACAAGGCTGTTTGCAAAAGTTTAGTCTGTCCTCAGCCAGGTCTACCTTTGCTTACATTACAGCTGATTTCTGTGGGGCTTAAACCAGGTTTTGACATGCCAATACCCAAAAGGCAGGAGAGACTTGCAAATTACCCTGAGATGGCTTTAATGACACCTTTAGGAAGACAGGGACAGTTAACCTGTGCACCTCTCATTTTCAATAAAGCAGGCAGATCTGTGTGCATGTGCAGAGAAGTTCCCTAAATCCAGTTCTGCCATGCACTTGGAAATGACATCACAAACTGACATTACAGGCCTGGCAGCAGCTTGAGCAGACATGTTCAAAACCAAATCCCAGAGCTTGCTTAGAAATGGCAACATTTATCGTTCTTAGACTATGACAGGAACTAAAATTTCAAATTAACATCATCTTTTTCTCTTATCCACAGGATCCAATAAAGCCAAGAAATTCCTCTGGCGTTAGCTACACCGATGAAATCTTAGCAACGATTCCCACTCCCATCCCGGTACGAGGAGCTATGAAACCACAGCAAAGGGAAGAGGATGAAGCACGGGCTGTGCAGTACGTACATTCTGGTGGAAGTCTGTTCTTTCTAAAAGCAAGCCTTTCAGTTTTCTTTCTGCTTTCTGCCAAGCTAAACAGGACTCCGTAAACATACTGACGCACTGGCCTATACAGGAGAGCAGCGGGAGGCAGGTCCTTGTTGGCTTCATCTTCTATAGAAACGGCGATTTTGATTTCACCCTGTGGCACGAACAAAAGCAGAGAGATATGACATGTTACAGCAAACAGAAAGCATTGAGGTGTGCATGGGAACCCCATCCAGCTCTAATATACATCTCAGCTTGTCAAGACAAATGGGATTGAGCAGTAATGTGGATCTCAGCTTGGGAAGGTAGCACCAGAGCAGGACCACCCCACAGCCTGCTTACTTTCCTTCCTTTCCTCCAGGCTGACTGATCATCCCTGTTGTTTTTTCCTCTCTCTTCTCCACCACACACATTTTTGTTTGCCTGCACTATGTGCATGTGAGGACTAACTAAATACTGATGCAGGCACCTGGAAGAGGGAAGCAGTACACAGAGAAACACAGCAATGTGCTTTTAGACAGCCAAAGCACATGTGAAGCTGACCTGAATTTCAGGAAATTATTATTCATGCTGTCTAAAA